GAGAGAGAGAGAGAGAGAGAGATGAATGAACGAGATAAGTAAGAGGGAGAAAGCAATATTAACTAATATATGAAAAGGAATGGGAATCTTTTATAGTATTAAAACGAGAAAATTCCAAAGATTTTTATATCGTACAACACAATGGGTGAGCTTTATCCAGGATGATATGAAAATACGTAGTATATTATAATGAGCAGCATAAGCAATAAAAAGACATAATATGAGCTGCGTAGGAAATGAAAAGACATATTATGAGCAGCACAAAGAATGAAAAAATGTAATATGAACACCGCAATATTATTGTCATGAATCGGAATTCAAGCAGATTTAAAAAAATAATTTCTGCTTGTCTTTCCTGGAATATTTCCTCCTCTAAACCAGCTGCCCTGACTATAAGAATCAATAGCCCTGTCTTGTACTTGTACCCGAGCTCTCTGAGCGATAGGTGTTCAATATGAGGAGTCCACTGAAAAACACGGGCATAGCCACAAACTGGAAATTGTGAGGGTGTCAATTTTTAAAAGCTTATGGACTCACAACTTCATATTTGTTTGGCTGGTGGTTAATTTTATACGTTTGTTGGAAGGGAAATCTTACAACAACAATCAACCAACAGTTGATCAGAGATACAGTTATGAGTCAGCAAATTATGTTCAAAATTGATACCCTCAAGATTTTCAGTTAGTGACTATGCCCGTTTTTTTCAGTGGAGTTCTCACGTCTTCGCCCTGACTATGAATGAAGGAACTGTAATAAAATGATGACACTAGGAGAATGTGGTTCCATCTTTCTGGTGTTCTGCTTGTGAAATTTACGGAAAATGAGATGAGTGGTGTGAATTCGAGAGTACTTTTAGTGAGCATGGTTCATGAATAGGCCAACTGAATGATCACGTCATTAATAACGGAAAAAATGTCAGCAATGTAATCTATTAAACATTGCTCTGCTGTCATTTGTCTTTCTTTTTGTGCGGATAATCACTGACAAAAATAAGAAAGGTTAAGCGTTTGTTTACCTTGGTGAATGTCCTTTTTATGAAACTGTTCCATATTGAACAAGGAAGTCCATAAAACAGGATAGGAATTGTCAGAAACACCAAGACGCAAATAGCCCATATCAGGAAATACAAAAGATTTACAAGGAAAAGAAACCAAGTTGATTAACAAGCGAGTAAACATATTATGCAAATATATATGGAAAAACTTATTATTGTCCCAAACAACTGGAAACGTCATTATTTAGTTCACAAACGTCACCAGCATTAACTGCAGCGTCGAGAATTATACAATTCTCATATTATAGCAGGCCACATACAAAATGAAATCTGAATAATAAAATAGTAAAGCTTTACGTAATGATATATTATAGTAAAGCTTTGAGCAATTGCCATTGCGCATTCAAATTATGGAAGGTGGACAACAAATGAGTCCTTTGACGTTGCCGGTTCGCACCCCCCCCCCTCCCCGTCTCCCCTCCCCCCACACACAAAGCAACAACAAAACAACAACAAACAAACAAACAACCCCCCCTAAAAAATTAAAACAACCAAAAAAAAAACAACCACAAAAAAACAACAACAAAACAAAAACAACGAAAAACTCAAAATACCAAAACCCCTTGCAAGTTCTTTTCAAAGTACATGTATACTATTGATAAGTACATGCCTGCTTTATATATTGCTACATGTACATGTCTGCTATAGATATTGCTACATGTACATGTCTGCTATAGATATTGCTACTTGTACATGTCTGCTATAGATATTGTGACTTGTACATGTCTCTCTGCTATAGATGTTGCGACTTGTACATGTCTGCTATAGATATTGCGACTTGTACATGTCTCTCTGCTATAGATATTGCGACTTGTACATGTCTCTCTGCTATAGATATTGCTACTTGTACCTGTCTGCTATAGATATTGCTACTTGTACATGTCTCTCTGCTATAGATATTGCTACTTGTACACACTATAGGAGAAGAAGTAGGCTCGTAACCTGTTGAATATTCTCGACGGGAGGTAAGGACGTAACCTGGCCAGCCACTGGGGAGAAAGACAAACAATGAGGTTTGTAACAACAGTCAGTCTGCTAAAAGTAAAGTGTAACCCTCACCTCCTCTATCTCTTCAGACACACAAACACACACCAGATATGCACTGGCACAATCAGTGGAAAGACCCTCGGCGACATTTTGGAGAGAGCAACGGAGCATCAATGGACATGTCCTGAGTGCAGGGATGTTGCTTCCTGAAACAATGAACAATGAACACCCCCCCCCCCCCCCACACACACACACATACACACACACACACACACACACATACACACCCAAACACACACACCCAAACACACAGACACACACACATATAAATACACACACACACACACACACACACACACACACACACACACACACACACACACACACACACACACACGGCTTCTAATATCATTACGTATTCATCTACATCTTTTAAAACCCGCCCCACGCTCTTACAAACGTTTTCTACACAAAGAGCGTGAGAAACTGAGCTATTTCATAAAATAAAACATATGTTTAATTTCTAAATTATTGTCTCATCTCGGCCAACAGTGAGTCAGTCAGTGGAACTTCTGTTTTTTTTCTATTTTCAACTTAAGAAAAAGAAAAACGGACAACAAACCACAACCCCCCACCCCTTCAAAAAAAAAAAAAAAAAGAAAAAAGAAAGAAAAACTCCACCCCCAAAAAACCCTAAACAAAACAAAAACAACAAACGACAAAAGAGAAAATAAACCCCTCAAACCCAGCGATGTTCACAGAGTCACAGAGCTTGCCCTAAACACCGACATTGCCAAATTAAAATGCGCCACTAGATTATTTCAGAATACCGGTACGGTAATTGCCTGGCTAGCCATCTGTTGCCATGACTATTTCTATTCTGCGTCAATGACATGTGCACACAACCATGATTTCGATCTTCTGAAAGATCTCTTTCTTTTTTAACCGTATCCGTACGTCGTGTTTTACTATCGTGTCCATACGACCTGGGGAACTCTGTGCCACCACTTTCCAAAAAGGAAATTTACTCGTTAATCCGATCCGTACGCTTTGCATAGCAGTCTGTCAAAATGATTTTTTGAGAGATACTGAAAGTTTCAAAGAGATCTTCGCACTAGAAGTATTCTAAAATATGAAGAATACAACCCCGAGGGTACAAAATGACCCCAGGGCGTACGGATAGGGTTAATGTTGTGTTGTTCTTTGTTATTTTATTCTCTTTAGAGCGGGTTCGTGTAGGAAGATTTTATGTTCAGTGAAAACTTAGAATGAAAGCGAGGCTGCTTGTGTTGTTTTCTGAGAACGACTGGATGTAAAACATAATTATTGATCATGTCAAAAAGTTATTTTCATAACATATGTTCTTTTTCCCGATTTCAAAGGAAGGAATGGCGTTGGTAGCCTAGTGGTAAGGCTATCGGACTCGTAATCGTGCGATTGCGGGTTCAGGGGTTTAAGCGTCAACTCGGTCCCACGTTGTGTCATTGGCTAAGGCACTTTACACAAGTTTCCCTCGGATCATGACTCGGTCCTTTCGGATATGGACATTAAACTCGGAGGTCCCACCTCTTAAACAGCTTAATAGTGTTGATAAGGGCGTTAAACCCATGCCGTTTCATCGGGGTTTTTTTTTCCAAAGGAAGGATAGTAAATTAACATCCCCCCCCCAAAAAAAAAAAAAAAAAAAAAAAAAAAATCTCTTTCCCCAAGTATCGACAGCTGGTTAAGTCGGCCGTGGTTTCGTTCTGTGATGTTGCAGCCAATTAAATTAGCCTTAACCATAATTTGAGTCGCTATTTCGGTTCGTTTATCCCATGTCTTTATATTTTAGGCAAAGCTTTCAACTTTTTCAAAAATGAGCTTTACTTCCTATTTACATTCTACTTTCTGAAAAGGTATTGGTTTATGGCCTAATCCTAAACAAATCATATGTGAGACAGGGTGGTGGAATCAGGCTCTCGTCAAAATAATCAAAGGGAAGAAACGTGCCTTTTTTCGCAGGTTTGTGAATTTTTATCAAATTTGTGTTTTTTGGCTCAACATCTTTCATACCCATTAAGGAACTCTTTTCTGTGTGGAATTTTTCTGAAAAACGTTGATTAAAGGCACAAAAAATGTAAATTTTCAGTTACCACGGACTCTTAAGCTAAGGAAATAACTAATCTTTGGCGGCCATTTTCTCACTAATTTTACCTCTGAAAACAGGTGACCCCCCACCTCCTTCTTTCATAAATATCTGAACTTGTATTCAAGATAAATGGATATTGTTTTCATCCAAATAAAGACAAGTGAACAAGCTTTAAGAAGATACCAATATCTCTACAAGCCCAAAAATTGACGAGAGCCTGATTCCACCACGCAGCCTCACATATGAGAAAAACATATCGCTTAAAAGACACCCCCCTCCCACTCCCTCAGTCATGTCGCAACCTCAGCACTATAAAGTTATATTTGACATTTTTGGCCGTTTTCAGTTACTAAGACCATCATACCAGAAAGCAAATGCTCTATCTGCACTATCAAAAGCGTACAAATATTCGTAGTCGTTATCAAGATATTCAAATAACTTTTTTCGAAAAAGCTTGACGTATTATTATTGAGAAACTGAAAACTTTGACGCCAAATTTCTCAAAGCAAGGTACTGAGCAGTCAGATAGACCTTTGCAATGTTATGGTAGCGATTTGTCAATGTGCTGACTGCAGTAAGTCGGACCACCCACCACCTGTCTTTCCCGCGAGTGTCACGTGGTACGAGGTTTGTTGGGGACCAGGTGTGTTATCCCATCGACTCACCTGCTCAATTTTCTGCCCACACCTCCTCATTAATTAATATGCAGATTTGACTAGCGGAATAGGCGTCGACGTAATTTGAAATTGAAATACTTATAATTTGGTATTAATTTGAATAGGCGTTTGATGATCAGTAAATCAGTAAATAACGTTGTAACGTTTGAGATTAGATTCTGACAAAACTGCCAAACCCTCCCGTGGACGAAATGTTAGAGATTTAGTTTTACGAGATGCAAAAGAAAACTTTCATCGATCAACAACACGTGTCGCATATGCTCATGATAGACGATTGGGGATTTGCATATTAAAGGTGATATCGATAAGAATAATAAAACAGAAATAAAGAAACCTGCCCCCACAAAAAATAAAAATAAAATAAAAATGTCACACTACCACTAGATGATTTTCCCGCCAAACTGCCAGAATTCTGACCTTCTGCAGGGGATCTGCCAAACTGGCAACATTGAATAGTAGTGCCTTCATTGACTGCATTACAACCAAAGAGTCTACGTAACAAGAGGGTCCACTTCTCTCTTTGAGCCAATTAAAAAAGTGTCCTCAAAATTCGGTGGCGCCCTCTTGCAAATGCGCACCCTTTGTGAACAGAGTTACCCTACTTGTGTTAAAAAAATCAAAGTGAAACTAACAAGTTTTTTAATAAATAAGAATTCAAATTTGAGAAGAACGCTTTTTTAAAATGGTTACGCTGACAAAAAAACCTCTTCTGGAGGAAGGGGCGGCTGTTTTCTTCATTTAATTCGACTTTAGAATGAGAGGCGAGGTGTCAATAAAATTTTAAAAACCCTAAAACTCCGCACTGAACAAACCCGAACAGCTGATGAACAGCAGTCGATCTGCG